TTATTATTATTACTATTATTACTATTATTATTACTATTATTATTACTATTATTACTATTATTATTATTATTAGTATTATTATTATTATTATTATTATTATTATTATTATTATTATTATTATTATTATTATTATTATTATTATTATTATTATTATTATTATTATTATTATTATTATTATTATTATTATTATTATTATTACTATTATTATTATTATTATTATTATTATTACTAGTATTATTATTATTATTAGTATTATTAGTATTATTACTATTATTATTATTATTATTATTATTATTATTATTACTATTATTATTAGTATTATTACTATTATTACTAGTATTATGATTATTATTATTAGTATTATTATTACTATTACTATTATTATTATTATTATTATTATTATTATTATCATTATTATTATTATTATTATTATTATTATTATTATTATTATTATTATTATTATTATTATTATTATTATTATTAAAAATGGAATAACTTATAAATAATATTTCATGTTCAATTTTGTTGATTAAATATATATATATGAAGTATATATATATATATATATATATATATATATATATATATATATATATATATATATATATATATATATATATATATATGCCATTTTTCTTTTACTGCCTTTTATTTTGCCTTTTTTTTCAGGTCATTTAATGCTGAAACGCCGCCGTTTCGTATTCCCCCACCAATCAGCATCCGTAATTAATTTTTTTTCCACTTATTTTGCAAGCAGCTCGACCGTCTCGCTGCTTGATTTTCGATTTTCTTTTATTCCGCTTTCTGCGAAACGACGTCGCTTTGCCGGCTGCGTCCTTACCCATGGCCAACAATTGTTGACCTCCGCCACTGATCAGTCCGCCGCCCGCCGCCGCTCCATCCGATGCACCTATACCACGGCACCGCCCTTTTTCTCCAATAGTATGCGTCGCCGCCCTCCTCGTCTCTATCTTCAATTTGTGTAAATGCTTTCCACCTTGCACTCAATTCTTTCCCATCTTTTTGCTTTAATGTTTTTCCTCCTAATAAAGCTCTGTGGTGATCTTTGCTCTCGTCCTCTTCTCCGGCCGTCCAAACTCATGGTCGTGTTGTGCTGCTATTTTTCTTTCAAATTTCACAGCGTAGAAGTTCAAGTGGGTAGGTAGTACAGGGTTTTCTGCATTTTCTGAACAAGCTTCGATCTTTTCTGGCATTCAATCGGTTTCAAGATTCAACCTTTTTTCCGATTTTTGGATAACCCTTTGGTTACTGTCACCGGTTAGGACACTAAATTTACTTATTTTACTGATTCTTTCAACTTCCTTTCATAAATTACTGGAAAACTCATGTTAGGCGTACTGATTCTAATTACGTATCTATCTTGTCTGTGCTTTTTTTCTTTTGTTTTCGTTTAGGGTCCATTTGGAGGGAGGGATTTGGGGAATGGATTTGAAATGACTCCAATTTTGGAGTAATTTGAAATTCATCACTATTGCTCCAAAATCCACTACAAAGTAGGGGTGGGGATATTAAATCCATCTCCAAATCCCTCAATCCAAACAAGTTCGAGGGATTTGTTATTATGGATTTGAAATCCCTCCCCCAAATCCCTCCATCCAAATGCACCCTTAGGGTTTTTGTAGTTCTGATTCTAATTTGGTGGGTCAGTTCAGATTTGCAAATTCCGCCGTAAAAGGGGCTTGAAGACTGTGTTTATTAGAGGAGGGTCTGGTGGTTCTGTTAGTTCCGGGCCTAGCGCAAATATTCATGGCTCCGGTGGTGCTGGTGTGATGCTCTAATGGTTTTCTATTTTTAGTTGATAATCAATTATTTTTGTAAACTCATTTTTCTATGTTTTTATGCGATCGCAAAATACGTTGATTTTGAGAGCGATTACGGGGTTAAATGAAATCGGAAAGGCTTTATTAGGTAATTCAATTAATTTATCTTTTAAAAAATGAGTAAATTGCAAATACCACCCCTGTGAAATCTCTAATTGTCAAATACCCCCCTGTCAAAAAAAAATTCGCTCATACCCCCTGTGTAAACAAAGTCAAGGCATTGAGACCCCTGAGAGCAAATCGTGTCTCTCACGCGCTACTGCTGCGATTTTTTCTTAATTTTCGATTGTGAAATATCAAAAATGTCCCCAAGCTCCTTTTCCTTCCCTCTTCTTCATTCTTCATCGTCCCCATTCTTCATCGTCCCCACTGCTGCCCACCGCTGCACCTCCGCCACGAACGCCCTCAATTGGGAGAAGCGAGTCCAAACCTCGGCCCATCCCCACTTCAGTTCCCCCTCATACTTCAACAACAACATCGCCGGACCCGCCACCATTTTTAGACCTTCAAAAAACGCAATACACAACCATCTATAGACCCTTTATCAGAAATCGACAAAATCGATCAAGCCGCGAGCTTCTACGCCGCAACCAAAAAAATCGGAGCTTGAATGATGGAACGCTGGGCAAGATCAATAAATAAGAAGCTTCGGCTTAGGGTAAAATGAAAAGGTGTTATTGTTGTGCTTCTCGACCAAGGAATAGCGGGACAGGAAAGAACGTGTGCCAAATATGGATGGGTGTGGTGGTGCGTGGTGAGCGGCGACGGTGAATGATAAGTATGGTGGAAATTGAGAGGAAGAGTGGGGATTTGGGGCTGCGGCTGGGCAAAGTTGCAGAAAGGGGAATGAGAATAGGTTTTGGAAATTGCAATTTAGTCCCCTAAATTAAGTTTGAAAAGTTTAACAAAATTCCAATTTAGCCTCTTAAATTAATATAATTTTATGTTATACTACTTAGGGGTATACTTGTCTTTTTACCTTCGGTCAACCATTAAAATGATAATGGGTGCGGTGAGCTTCGAAATGTATTACACAAGGGGGTATGAGCGAATTTTTTTTTGACAGGGGGGTATTTGACAATTAGAGATTTCACAGGGGTGGTATTTGCAATTTACTCTTTAAAAAATTATTGGTTTAAAATAAGTCTCCCTGATTTATTGGGAATTTAGTTTGAAATATGAGGAGGTACTAAGCTATTTCTGATGATTATCTTATTCTACTGTTTGAAAATTTTGCTTCTGAAGTAAATTCTGAGCGATCGTTTGTTCTTCAGCTAACGATAATTTGGTTGTAGGAACTGTTGCTGAGCAAGTCATGCTTCTGGAGAATATAGGGACATCTGTTCTTGTTTCTGGAAATCAGGTTTAGTACACGATACAAGCTCTTAATTCGTTCTGTTTATACTAATATTTTCGTATCAAATTATGGATGCATTAAATGTTTGAACTTCTGTTTTATGATACCTCTGGGAGTCTGAGTACTGTGTAAATATATTTAGATTCAATTTGCGGCAATTGTTATATTCTTTTAGATATTACTCGTATAACTGTGTCTGTTTTGTTTGTATAGCTCCCTGAACTTCATGCATTGATGGTAGAGGCTGTCAGTATACTGAACATTGACGCGCCCGACTTATATTTGCGCCAAAGTCCTGTGCCTAATGCATATACTTTGGCTATCAGTGGGAAAAAGCCATTTGTTGTCGTTCATACAAGCTTAGTGGAGCTTTTGTCAAGAAAGGAACTGCAGGTACTAAACCTTACTTCTGGTAGTGCTTGAGTTGTACTTTAACCTTTATTTGCTGTATCACATACAGGCTGTTTTGGCACATGAATTGGGTTATCTGAAGTGTGACCACGGTTTATGGCTCACGTATGCTAATATTCTTACTCTTGGAGCATATTCTATACCCGGTAAGATCTTGTTTTTCGTTGGTCGGCCTGAGTCAGTTCTACAATTATGGTTGGGGGTTGTTTAGTGTTTGTTCTATTAGACAACAAATATTGTATTTTTTTCACTTCGTTCCAATAAAAGTTGTACCCGTACGGAATTCTTCTGTTTCCCCGTGTGATCTCTATGATCACCTCTATTCCCTTTATCAATTCGCCTATATTAAGAACTATTAAGACAATCGACTATATTTCACAAGCTCTTTATTCATAGGCCTTGGCGGTTTGATTGCTCAGCAATTAGAAGAACAGCTCTTCCGCTGGCTTCGAGCAGCAGAACTTACTTGTGATAGGGCCGCCCTTCTTGTTGCTCGGGACCCAAGGGTAGATAGATAGTATTGAGATTAATCTATTGCCCTTTTGATATCAAACTATGATTATTATTATTATCTTTTAATCATCTTACACGTGCTCTCGCCACAAGAGGTTGTCATCTCCGTTCTGATGAAATTAGCTGGTGGCTGCCCCTCTATGGCTGACCAATTAAACGTGGATGCCTTTTTGGAGCAAGCTCGATCTTATGAAAAGGCTTCTTCTAGCCCAGTTGGGTGGTATATAAGGTCAGCCAACTCATCTTGCTATACAAAAAAAATATAATTAAAAGATGCTATCTTGCTATGTGGATGTTAAAATATGGTAGATGCTTTAACTTGTTCAACTCTGCTCAGAAATGCTCAAACGAGGCAACTTTCCCATCCTCTCTCGGTTCTGCGTGCACGTGAGATTGATGAATGGTCCAAAAGTCCAGAGTATCAATCTCTTCTAAAGCGTTTGAAGTGGGTCAACTCAGTGCAAAATGTATAACGTTGGATTTTTGAACTATTCCAGAGTCTTTTGTACAGGTATAGGGTGAAGTTTCCGAACCCCTGTTATCTGCTTAAATTGGAAATTAAAACTTTTTCGATCTTATTGTGTGAAGTTGATAAATTTGTCCATTTTGTGCGACATGTGCAGATTCTTGAAGCAAGATTGATAAACATGGAGCTGCACGAAGTGTTACACTGTTACTCAATTTGAGTAATGTGGGTTTTAAGTTAATAGAATAGAATATTACAGGGGTTATTACTCCATAGATACAGCATACAGGTTGGGGTTCTCCCCATGAGTTTGGATCAATTATAGTGAAGATATTGAACAATGTTATTCCTGATATTTCTGTATATACGATATTACATTGTATATAATATGTTACGAGAGTTACCTTGCTGGAGGAGCTGGAAGTAGCTTGGCATTCCGTGTGGAGAACCCGTCGCCAATTTTTTCTCATGGAATTAGTTGCATTGCTGTAGTGCCAAGTGGGTCCCGCTCGGGTGCAGAAACAGTGAAGAAGATGAGGGGTAGCCTAGAAATATATACCCGATAGAGCAGCTAATATGTCGTTAGGGTTGTCCCCTGTTTCTGCCGCCACTCCATCATCTGAGCGGATTGCCTCGGGGGAGAGAGCACGAAAGGGGCGGCCGCCTGGCACATGGTCGAAACAGAAACTCGCTCCTCTTGGTAAGTTTTGTTCGAGAGTAAATTGATGTAGAACTGAAGTAATCCTAATGTGTTATTTTCTTTCAAAATGCGATTTTTGTTGTCGAAAGTACGAGTCTTTAGGGGATATTGCCTTTCGTTTTCCTCTAAATACACATGTTTCAGTATTCTTATCGATTTAGTTATCGTAAGTTCGTAACCTTTGTCAGTGAGATGTGAACTTTAACAAAAAGAGAAAATAATTATCTTTAATCAGGCGAATGGATGAACACGTCAGCGGGACTAGCATTTACACCACATGTACTACACGTTAGAGTCGGAGAGGTACTTTTGTTGCATTCCCTAATTAATTATCTTGATTTTATTTGATATTCCTTCAATTTGCAATAGTATTTTTTATGTTGCAATTATTAATTTCTAAGTCATGTACAAGATATTACGGCAAAAATACTGGCATTTGCACGACAGCGACCGAGATGTTTATGCATCATGTCAGGTAGTGGAGGAAGTTATCCTCTTATTTTGACCTGCAAATTACAAGATTACAAGAACAAGGTTCTTGGTAGTGATTTTTCCTCTTTGTTTTCTTGACATGCCTCTACCAATAGCTGAGATCAATGTGCAGGCTAAGGTATATGTCTTCAATGCAAAAGTTAGGTATTTGTTCTTACAAAATGGTCTGATCAAAATACTGAAAAAGCAAGATTGATTGTTTTCTGGAATAACTATTTTTTGGCTTTAATTTTCTGCTAAGTCAGCATATTATATTTTCCAGACAAAATGCCTGCTGAGGAATATCCACATATGATTCTGGTGAGAGTTCAACCAATCCTCTGCTGCATTGTGCTGTTCTTAATTTTTTTTGGGGTTGGGTTTGGGTTTGGGTTTACGATTTGTTCGGTCAAACTTTTCCCTGTTATTGATATCTCAATTTCTCTTTACGGATTGGATTAGTTTTACGGCCATTTTGTTAGTCACTTTTATGTTTTTCTACCTTTCTGAATTCCTTTATTATTTGTTGGTAGAATTAACTTAGGGGCTGATATTTTACACTATTTCCTTTTGGATTTGGCATTTGGCCATCAGTACTTTAATTATTACAGAAATCCGAGGTTCTTGAAGACACCGATGATTGTTAACGGAGTTGGGAATCGTCACCACGGAGGGGAGAAGGCATTTTGCAGTCCAGAATGCCGGTCTAGGCAAACCTCGATTGATGAACAGAGCGATAGGTTGCGTCGCTGTGCGGCGAAGAAGAAGAGGGAGTACTCTGTTTCGCCCTGCTCTGGTAAACTTGAGTTTATAGCAAAAATCAAAGTTACGGCAAAAATTGTAAATCATAAGATTTTAAGCTCGGTATTGTGAATTTTCGTAAATGAGTCACACACGATTACGGCTGAGGAGTCGCAGCATGTTGCATTGGTGGTGGATATTTCGGATATTGCAAGAGAAATCCACTTTGGGGTCAAATTTGCAATTTGGGTGGAGCTGGTGGGAAGATGGAGTAAGTATATATGTGATTCTGCAATTTTCAGAACTGTTTGAGCCAGGGAGGTGGGTTTCCAGAAATTACAAATTGAACCCCACATGGGCGGCATTTTGGGTTGAAGGACCAAAACAAAAAATGATATGTAATATAGGGACCAAAATTGTAATTATCCCAAGTTTGTTATAAAAAATATTCTAAATTAAAGTTTTCTTAAATCATAAATCGTAAAATTTGATCGATTTATTGATATGTAAGACTTATTTGAACATTTGAATCGACTTACGTCTGAATGAATTGAATCGTAAATTATAAGATTTTAAGCTCAGTATTGCTATTTTTTGTAAATGAGTCACACGCGATTACAGCTGAGGAGGAGTCGAAGCATGCAACGTTGGTGGCGGTATTTTTGGATGTTGCAAGAGAGATCCAATTTGGGGTCAAATTTGCAATTTTGGTGGAGCGGCTGCGAAGATGGAGTAAGCACATTGGCGATTCTGCAATTTTCAGAACTGTTTCAGCAAGGGAGGTGGATTTCCAGAAACTACTAATTGACCCCTACTTGGTCAATGGTATATGCGTATGTATTGTCTCTTTCTTATATTTTCTTGGTTAATTTCTTCGAGATCCTATTTTATGATCTCAGACAAAAAAAAAGTTTTCAAAAAACAAAAAAGAGTCAAAATTGAAATTATGGTCAAAAATGGGTTAATTAGTGAAATTTGGCTAAATTAGTAAGTCGAGGTATGATCGTGGATTTTTTTTTTTATTTGGAGGGCAAAGAGCAAAAACGACCAAAGTTAGGGGCAAAGTGTTGTTAACCCTACTTTTAATTCTCTGGTTTAATTATGTAAGGTTAATAAAGTAATTTTACATGAAGTATGATGGAGTACGACCTGTGTACGGTCTATATTTATTGGGTTCGTACTTTAATTTATAAATTCATAGGTTTGTACTGAATCGTACTAGTTCGTACTTTAAATCAACGACTATAAGTTTTTACTAAATATTTTCTACGAATCAAATTAAATCGTTTGGGTTCGAGTAGTACAACGCCTCTCGGACCCTAGACAACCCCAAATGTGTATGGTTGTCTAAAAGAAAGTTCAAAATAATTGTGATCTAATAAAGATTATTGAGTTGGACTTATGGGTGTTAGACTATAACTATGGGCCTAATGTGTAGAGACAATTAGGGTTTAATTATGGTTCTTGTGATTCATTATTGATGGGGCTGAATCACATTTGTAATATAACTGGACTCTACAGTTATATAAAGGGTCATGGTCCCCAAAAAACGCAACGATTCCATCTTTTTCTAAAATCTAGTTCGTTAGAGATATAATTAAGGAACTGCGGATTCTTTGGAAGGCATGTCCCAAATTCAGTGAAGATTTGAAGATGTAAGATACGCTTCCGTATTTATGTTTATGTTTAATTCTCGTTGATTCAAGCATGTTGGTTCTTGAGAATTCGTATGTATGTACGATAAATTATCTAACAGGTAGGGCGAAGAATTTGCGCTGTTCACCAGCGGCTTGATCGCTCCGGCAAAACCAGACCCAGTCCTTAGTATATAACAGGAGTGAGTTGTATATAGCAGCAGGAGTCCTGTGAACAATTAAATATAGCACATGTGTGATTTTTCGTTTAAAAAAATGTGGGGTTTCACACAATTTTTGTTTTTTTTTTTACTGTAGGAGAAAAAAACTTTGTGATATTGATATTAGAATATATTTTGGAAAAACCTTAACAAACACAAATTTATTTTGAGAAAAATAATTAAACTAAGATGAAAAAACAAACCAATTAAACTAAGATGAAAAAACAAACCAAATATTGGCATTGTACTGATAAAAAATATATATATTGTTATATCTTTTGCATGTGATGCAATGGCTTTGCACGTGATTGCATGATATGCATACATGGGACTTCTAGATCAGTACATACATGGGACTTCTAGATCAGTACATATATTGTATACGTGGAAGTTTTATACTCCCTGATGATGTATATAAATAGATGATTAATTCAATGAAGAAACACACTTCTTCCAAAATACAGTAGCAAAAGTCCTTGCAGTAAATACACCCTTTATATCTTTCAATTTCATCAGTAGTTTTCGTACAATATATATTTTATAGTTTGCATACTTACAACATATATAATATATTTCGTCTATATACACATATATCTATCTTGGTTTTATTTTATAACACGTTATCAGCACGAGTTTTTGCTCTACAAAATTGAGTAAATTGCAAAAACTACCCCTGTGTAATCCTTAATTGCTAAAAAAGTCCTTGTGTTATAAAAATTAGCGAAAACCCCCCTATATAATTTATTTATTAGCTCACCGCACCTATTGAAATTTTAGTCATTGACCAGAGCTGAAAAGACAAATATAACCTTTAATTAATAACATAAAATTAGAATTAATATACAATAGAGGCCAAATTGTAATTTTACTAAATTTCTGAAACTTAATTAGGTGACTAAATTGTAATTTTTCAAAATACTATTAAACCTAGATTGAAACACACACTACGCACAAAATTCATTGCACAGACCCCTGCCTCCTCTGCGGCGGCGCCGTCGACCAGTTCCACAGCCTTTTCTTCTTTTGCAAACTCTAAAACCATCGTCGGAGAAGACGGTAAAAAACAGAAAAACAATGGGGAGGTTTGGATCTGGAGGCATCAGATACCTTGCTCTTCTCCTCCACTATTTCGTGAGGCTGCCGGCTTCAACAGAGCTACACGATTTGAGAGAATTAGGGGCGGCTTCGGCGGCGATAGTGACCGTGATTGTTGCCTGTGTTGTTTTGAGTTCCAGAAATTTTGGGGAAGAGAATTAGGTGCTGGATTTTTATTTTCCCAAGTGGGGGCGTTGAGATTTGAGAGATTAGGATTTAGGATTCTAAAAATTGCTATTTGGTCCTTTGAATTTAATTTATTTACAATTACATCAAATTTAACATACATTTTTTATTTATATGTATAAAAGGGTGTTTATGTCATTTTACCCCCAAATTTTTAAAAAGAACCGCACAACATGCGAGCAGCTTTAATGGACTTTTTCGCCTTTGACTTTTAATCATAGGGGGATTTTTGCTAATTTTTATAACACAAGGACTTTTTTAGCAATTAAGGATTACACAGGGGTGGTATTTGCAATTTACTCCTACAAAATTATAGGTTTGTAAAAGGGTTAATTTCTTTTTGTTGTACTATTTTCTACTTATTTTATTTTACGATGGCCGGAATTGAAAAACAAAAATTTCAAATCCTTGATGTTACCGGCAGTAACTTTTTATCCTGGTGCTTAGATATCAAATTACACCTCCAAGGGCTAGATCTTGTAAAAGCCTTGGATTGTGTAGATATCAAGGAGGCAAACAGGAAAGATGAGGCAAATGCTATGATTTTTATCCGCCATCATCTGTCTGAGGATTTGAAAGACGAATATATACAACTTGAAAGGCCATCAGAGATATGGCAAAAACTCAAAGAAAGGTTTGATCACACAAAAACCGTGATTCTCCCACAGGCCCAATATAATTGGCAGCACCTAAGGCTGCAGGACTTCAAATCTGTTGCCGACTATAATTCGGCACTGTTTAAACTTGAGTCCCGATTAGCCTTGTGTGGAGTTAAAATATCTGAATATGATAAATTGGAAAAAACTTTTTGCACTATGCATGCCTCAAACTTGGTGCTCCAACAGCAATATAGGCAGCGCCAGTTTAAAACATAATCGAAGTTGATCTCTGTACTCCTCACAGCAGAAAAAACAAATGAACTGCTGTTGAAAAATCATGATTTGCGACCATGTGGGTCCCAAGCTGTGCCTGAAGCACATGCTAATCAAAATAGAAATATGGGCCGATTTAGAGGCCGTGGGCATAGATTCTGGCGTGGTGCACGCAGAGGTGGTGGACGTGGTCCCCCTCAAGATGCCCGAAATAATGACCGTGGTGGATATGAATATCCCCGTCGAAATAATAATAATACGGTCTGGCAGAGACAACCATTTCAGGCAAAACGCGATAAAGGCAAGATGCTCGCGGAAAGAATTCCAGAAAATATGTGTATTAGATGTGGAATGACTGGACACTCGGCCAAAGTTTGTAGAACCGCCCAACATCTGGTAAATCTGTACCAGGATTCAAAAAGAGACAAAGGAAAAAATGTCCAGGCAAATGTCACTGAGGCAGAAATGCCACTTGCTGTTCTTGAAGCCAGCACATCTGGGAGCATGCTTGATCAAGATCCTGCTCAAGATGGAGCCTCTCTTAGTTATCAGATTTCTTTACAAATCTTGATCCTCTTGTGTAAATTGCCAAATGAGCATCTCTTTTGGGTTATTTTGTACTCACTATGTATACTTTGTATATATCTCTCTCGGATGATGTAGTACCCGAGATTGAGCTAGTTTGTCTTTTGATGTATCCATGTACATATCTCCCTTGGAAGTTATGTTCCCGAGGTCGAGCTGATATTTTGACTATGTATAAAATTATGAGTTTGTTATCATATTGTTTGCAAACTATACTACGATTCAATATTAATAGATGTGTTATTTAATTCAGGCAAACATGGAGAACATCGACAAAATAGAAAATTGCCTACTCGATAGTGCAACTACACACTCAATATTCAATAATAAAATATATTTCTCGAGTGTGACATTGTGCAAGGCACAAGTTAAAACCATAGCAGGTTCCGCGGAAATAATTGATGGCTCCGGGAACGCAACAATTGTGTTGCCTAATGGTACCACTTTGCATATTGAAAATGCACTGATATCAGGTAGATCAAATAAGAATCTACTAAGTTTTAAAGATGTGAGACGTAATGGATATCATTTAGAGACACTGTTTGAAAATACCGTGGAGTGTCTCTGCATCACATCATATGTTATGGACAGAAGAATTGTTCATGAAAAACTCGAAGCGACAGCTTCTGGAGTGTATTGTTTCCAAATTCGAGCTTTCGAATCCTATGCCACCATGCCATGGAAACTTGTTAATCCCGATATACACGGGTTATGGCATGATCGACTGGGTCACCCAGGAACGACTATGATGCGTAGGATTGCACAACATACTAAAGGACATCCATTAAAAGATACAAAGATCTTAATGTCCAATGAATATTTCTGCGAATCATGTTCACAAGGAAAGCTCATTATA